AGGGGTGTCTCTGCCACACAGAGTCAAGTGGTAGGATGGGAGTGGAATTAGTCAAGATGGCATGGGATGAACTTGGCTTGCTCAGCCTTGTCCGGCCACCCTTGCCTTGAGTGAGTGGAGGGTACAGTTACTTTAGGGATGTTTAGGCAGGTCTTTTGATTGCTTTTAGTGACAGTCTGGTGGCTTAATAGGTGGCAGCACAGAGCTAACTGCAAGCTCTCTCTCTGATCTACTTGAGCCACAAAAAGCCTCATTGCACAACAGTGTGTGTGTAATTCAGAGCAGGTATGTGGCTATGCAGGGTGGGTTGGTAGCAGGTAAACCTTCCCCAGCTCTATTATGCTAGCTGACTATTCAAGCTTATTTTTAGCCTAAGTCTCTCCCCTGGCCCCATTAAAGTCACTATCTGAGCATCTTTCCATGTATTGGACCTGATAACATCTGTACAAGGCAGAGGTATGGAGACACTGTGTAACTTGCCCCAGGCCACGAAGGAAATGTGGAGCACAGCGAGGAATGGCTGGTCCTTAAATGCCAGCTCATCCAGCCTTTCTGCCCCAGAGACTTTCTCCAGTGTGAGCAAATGTATTTAACCAGCTGCCTTAAATAGGATTGAATTCAAGGGACCTTGGTGACATTTTTCAGACCAGATACAGGCACTGGGTGTAACTTCTACTGGGCCATAGGAAACACCGTATGCCTTAATCCCTATCCACAGAGATAATGAATGCTAGCTAATACTACTAGTAGCAAATGCAGCATCATCACAACAATATAAGCAACACTTTTCTTTTACTCTGTATGTCTGTAACATTTCCTACCATAAAAATCATACCAAAGCAGTTACTTTAGATCAGAGTTGCTTTATTTTTTCCATCCCTGGAAGCATTCAAGACCAGGTTGGATGGAGCCTTGAGCAACCTGGTCTAGTGGGAGATGTCCCTGCCATGGCAGGGGGATTGGAACTAGAAGATCGTTGAGGTCCCTTCCAACCCAAACCATTCTATGATTCTATGATTTGTAAGAGGTAACCTCGTTGGAGAATTATATGTTTACATTCAGTCCATAATGCAACTGCAGTCTTCGGAGAAGTGTAGCTGCTGCCCTCGAAAAAAAAGAAACCATCCATTTTATTGTCCAGCTATTTATTACTTAAATAAATGAACTGCAGTTTGATCCTGGAGGAATAGAAATCTCTCGCATACATGATGGATTAAGTTGTTTAAAGAGCCTTTCATCAACTTTAGGCCTTTTGATAAGTGTGGAAAAGATAGGAGAAGAACTGATAAAACTGATCAGCCAGCAATGTCAAGAAGCAACTTGCTTGGGCAAAAAAAAAATAGCCTTGTTTTTTCAAATAAATGTTGTGCTTGTGTGTCACCCAGCAAAGAGCTCTTAGGCCTTTTTCTCAGCACCCAGAGGGTGAATCGACATTCAGCCAGGGCTTGCATAGTTGCACAATGCCAGATCATTTGTGCCAACAGAGTGTGCTGCTGACAGCGGGTGCAGATCAGAGCAGGAGGGACCGAGCCCTGTTAATGTTTGTTACGGGTTTACAAGGCAGGAGGGGAGGCCAGCCTTTCTGACAGTGTGCAGTTGCAGCACTTGGGAAAGCAGTCCTCTTCCTGGTCCTGCCCTGGCCCATCCCAAGTTCTGAACCAGGGCTGAATCATTTATCCGCCCCGCATCGCCACCTCCTAAGCCTTCCCAGAATTTAGAGGGTTGTTTTTGAGGCTGTCTGTCAGTGACCGAAATGGAGAGTGTGGTTTTATGCTCTTGCACATGCCGTGCCAGGCACTTATCAAACAGCAACGAGTTCCACCGATTAGCACCGTGTCATGTTCACAGGGGCTTCCTGCTCTTTACGATGTCTTTTCTCTTCCCTGCTCTTTACGATGTATATCCCAGTCATGGCCTCTCCCAGCTGCACCTACTTGAAACTATTTAATCCTCCCCACCTCCAGCACTACATGTAAAAACTCCAGATATATCCACAGAGAGGATCTATCTCCAGATAAATCCAGAGGAGAATCCCTCAGCGATCGATCGTGGACTCCTTCCAGAATATGTACAGAGAAAAGGCTGGGAGGAGGAACCATCCCTTCAGCCTGTAAGAGTCTAGACATCAAGTCTCAACCACCAGAACATGGAAAAGTCCCCTCTTGGCTCCAACAAGAAACCCCTAAATGCTGTGTTCCAGCAAGTAGACATCATTGCCATGTGGGGTCAATATGCTATTGCACAGGAAAGCAGCCGCCATTCACGCTCAAGACTTCGGACACCTCTCTTATTTTCGGGGCTGAATGTGTATGACCTCTCCAGGAGCTGGAGGAGGCTGTGTCTCACCCGGAGTCCCCGGGGACAGTGGCTCTGGTGCTGGCTTGACATGCTGTGGCCGTTTCCACACATCTAAACTCCCGGTCTCCAGAAAGGGCCATTGTAGCCAAATTTCTTGTTGAGAAAGGGCACTGAATGCCTGGGAATTGTTTTAGAAAGTGGGCATGGGGCAGTAGTGTGTCAGGGACCTTCTTATAGTGCGAGAAGATGAGTCCCTGGACTGGAGAGGTCATGGAGCTGGTCACCCATGCAGAAAACATCCTGGATGGGAGATGTACAGCTGGATGAGCCCCCTTTTCAGTGACTAAGATTTGCAAAAGCCAGAATAAATCACCTCACATGTCCCATATCCTCCCTCTGCCAGTAACCAGACTTGACTCATATAAGGTGGTTCATCCTTGATTTTCCTTCAGGGGAAACCCCTTCCCTGCTTCCTACAATTAGCAGCTTGTTAATGCCTCATCCCAAGTATTTATATACTTTTCTCTTTCACAATAGCAGACAGTGTCATTATCTTGTGACATCCCACTGATTTAATCTAAAATTTGATGCTGGCCCTTGTCCCATGGCTGTGGGTCCCCCAAGTGACTCTTCTCCCCCAGCTAAATGCTTCTTAGCTGTTTCAGCCTGTGGCTCTGCACAACCTTTGCATATCAAATAGTTCTTAGAGTATGAGAAAGGAAAATCGGGCTCTTGGCCAACCTCCCTTCCCTTTCAGTCCCCCACTCACTGCTGTCCTGACTTCACAGTTCCTTGACTCCATGGGTCCAGCCTGTCATATTGCTCCCACCCAGGGCTCTCCCAGGCCCATCTGTACACTCTGCTGACACCAGCGTTGTGTTCTTTTGTTGTATATTGGGAGGAAGCACATGTGACACAGGGACCTTCTCCAGAATGTTTTCTACCTTCTTTTTTCAGATCTCTTCACATGTGTGTTACTCGGAGGTCTTATTTGAGAGTTTCTTTCAGGCAGCTTTGTATGGTACTTTGCTGCCTTTGACAAGCACTGTACGGGATGTCCCAATTCAAGGTGGGAACACACAAGTTTATATCCATAAAATAAACTGTCTGGAGAAGGCAAACTATAATTTAGAATCTATAGCTATATAAAGGGGCTATAACTGTATAGGACAGATATTAAAACTATAGAGTCTGCCTTGCATGCAGACACCTTGTTGGTATTGGCAACAGAGATGGCTTGAAATGGTTTTCTACGTATTTGAAGCTTACATGGTTGCCACATTCATTACACTGGTAAAGGTGGGCAAAAGATGTTGATTGTACCAGTGCCAGTGGTTGCACTAAGCTCCTCCTTCATCAGATGTGAACCAAATCTACTACACATGACAAGTGGAGAAAACCGCTCTGGCTTCAACAGGCAGTCCCAGGAAGGGGGAAAGGTCAGCGGGTGAAGAAGGGAAACTCTTATTGTTAGGAAGGGAATAAAGGACTCTGTGGGTATCCTCATGACCTCAACAAATCTTCAGGAAACACCAATCTCACCCTACTCTTCAGCACGCCTAGACCTGTCCTGAGAGCACCTCAGGAGGAGTCAGCCTCCCAACTTTTGTTTTCCCTCACTTTTTTTTTCCCCACACTTGCCTCCTCCCCATGTCTCACTGACTGTATCTCACCTAAGGGTAGAAGTGGGTGTGTGCTCACCTTCACAGATCAAGGCACCCAGAGGGGAAAATGCGAGCTCTGATGTTTACTTTCTCCACTCTCCCTGGTCTGCTAGGCAATGCCACAGGACCTTTAAGATAAACACCTCTTCAATCTTGTGACAGGACCCATGTCCCAGGCTGTAGCTTGGGGAATGCATCAAGGAGGAACTTGGAGGAGAAAGGTTGAGAATCTGCCTGTGGGAGATAGGGACCTTCAGGGGATGCTATTATGGCCAGGATGGAGACTGGCAATCCCAGAATTGGATTGATTGACCAGGACACCATGGGGACATCCTTTCCACTTTGCTCCAATGGTTACTGCCCACCGTGGTGCTCCAGGTACCTGGATGTGCAATCCTGCCCACCACCCCAAGGATGCTATTGCTATAGGAAAACACATGAATGGCTGTATGCACATGTAGCAGGGAAGTTGAGCACTATTTTGTCTTGTATGGTAGCTAGCAAGGTGCAGGGCCCCAGAGTCTCTAGGTCACAAGCAAGTTCCCCTTCAGCTGTGATTACTCTTCACAGGTTTTCTTGGAGTATGTGTTCTCCAGAGTTTGTCATAAGCCAGAGACCTTCAAGCTTTGGAGGTACAGTTGACACCTCTATTCTGCTCTACCATGGCACCTCTCAGCACATACTGTCATTACACAGCAATGACCAAGGCTGAACATTGGCCAGACATGCAACACACCCAGCTGCAATTGCTGCCGGGTGCAGAAATACATGATGAAGTGATATAAAAGTGACACACACACCTGATTCAGAAATAAGTATATTTTAGGTGTTACGCAGATAGCACGCACACATATTTTCTTATCTAGTAGCACCACAGCAATACAATAACAGGAATGAAGAAGCTATCATATGGCAAAGATCTGCCATCAGCTCCACGGATGCTGTGTGCCCAACACACCACATTGCTCCTGGTTACAATTCCTGTCGTAAGAGGGATGCTCCAAGACTTTCTGTGGTCATGGGAGTCATCTTTGCTCCTCACAGTCTGTTGTTCAGGAAGGTCAAGAGCACGCTGGATGCTATCCCTGCTGCCAGCCCGTAGCTGCACCTCACAGTGCTCGCTGCATTGACATTGCAGAGGTTGCTGCTGCAGCAGGAGATATTCCTGTTGCCTATGGTGAAGTCCTGATAGAGCGATTCACATGATGAGTCACAGCCCTTGCTGATGATGGAGACCCCTAAGACCCCTGGAAAGAAAGCAGGACCATTACAACAAGGACCCAATACAAGCCAAGCCAAGCCTGATGGAACAATGAGATCCTATTCTTATCTGAGCTCACTTCTGGGAAAAAAATTAGTGTTTCCAAACAGCTGCGTGTTTCACTGTATTTTTGAGGTGTCAGTTTGTCAGCAGGGGGGAAGGTTTTCAATCGCCAGGTGTTTGCTTAAGGCGATGTATTCCACAGCACAGTTCTCAGGGGGTTCTAAAACAGCACCAACTACAGAGATTGTAATAATTTAATTAATAACAAAAGTAGCCATTAAACACCTCTGTTGGGGAGTCTAATCTACTAACACATGAGGAGCAAACATGTGGGGCAATCTTTGCTTGTATGCCGTACATCTTTGCTGAACGGAGCCTTTCAGCATCCATGTCACCCCATTTCACAGGTGACAGAGTTATTGTTTGATTTGTTTCTGAGAGGCGCAGCCTATTTTTCTGTGGCCAGTTGATACTCAGTAACGGCTGGTTACCAGCAGATTATGGTCTGCATGAGATCTCCTGATCTTGCACAACCTATTTGGGGCACCAAGTCTTTGACGTCTGGAAATTTAGTGCATAGGGCCAGTGGGCCACACAACGTGTTGGCTTTCCTGCATGTGGACACACGGCCATGCGTTTGCCCACTTCCAACAAGGACTATGCCTACCAGAGGTATTACATTTACTGCCTGGGTTTGAATGTGCCCCTGACTGGTTTTGTGCCTCAGGTCTAAGAGCAACTGAGCTGTCATCACAGATCTGGACAGGGCAAACATTCTTTTTTTTTTTTTCCGGATCTAGAATGGGAGAATTAAATCATTATCTGTTAAAGGAGTTTACCCAGAGACACGGAGATGGCTGCATTCAGAGCTGGCTGTAGATGGGCCTGGGTGAAATTCTATCCTTTTCATTGAATTCACATAAAGTCAGCTCTGTCATTGAATGTTCCTCCTAACTTCATGACTAGCTTTCACTAGACTCAGCCCCTCACATTTTAATTCATGTTCCAAATTTTTCAAAGCCATAAGCTTAACTATTGCCATTGTAAAGCAAATAATTATTGGTGTTATGAGCGAGAAGTAAACCTAATTTTGTACAGGTGAGAGTACAGCTGTACCCTTCTGAGATTTGTTCCAGGCACCAGCACTGTACTACCCATACTCCTCAGATTTTAACATGGTCTATCGGCAAACACTGAGGAATTTATGGGGTGCAGCATGCATGTGCTAATATGACTTTGTAATCAGATTCTTATAGTCAGTGTGGGGAGAGGACTTGGTGATGACCAGCACCACTGCCAAGGGACTAGCTACCACCAAGGGATACACATTTTTCTTTTATCATTTCTACTTAACATGAAAGTCATCTGAAAGCTTTTTTATCACCTTTTCTCCCCAGATGGCTTTTCTCTTCCTGCTGCACACTGAGCTTTGCTGGCCCACACCAGCTGGTGTATCTAGAGTAGGTGAGGACACCTAAGGCTGGGACCATGCTTGGCTTGAACATCACAACTAAGATATTGCCCACCCCCACTTTGCCTTACTGATCACATCTGTCTTGCATGTTTCCGTATCCTTGCAGTCTACTTCCGTCTGACAGTTGGAGTTGCTCAGCTGTGTCATGCATTTGTAACACTTCAAAGAAGAACCTGCAAGAGACCAAGAGGGGTTATAAGACAAATCTCTCTGAACCTCTCCAGGGAACCCAACTTAGTGCTTGCATTGGGAAACAGGACCATTCCTGTGGATCCTCAAAGGAAGATATCCCCTCTGTTATTGGTAAAACAATGGGTTTTTCCTTTTTTAGCGGAGAATAGTACACTCGCTTGAGGTGAGAGTCAAGTTTTGCAGATACTGAAGGGGTTTCGTACGTAGTCAGTGCAGTGGGGGGAGCAAAAAGGACCAGTGTCATAGCTAATCTCATTGACTGGTCTCATCAGTCAGTGGGAAGTGCTTCCCAAATGCTTCTTCCTCTGCGTTTGGGTTGCCTAACTCAGTTCCTGTCTGGAACAGGCTTTTTGGTATTCCCACCTCCTGAGCTGGGATGAAGTCCCCTGAAGGATAGATTGGTATTATTTGTCTGCCTCTATAGACATTAGTGTTTTACCAGGTGGGCTTGTGAGCCTTAGCTGAGGCATCGCCAGGGTTGGATGAAAGAGAGACAGCCCAGAAGGAAGAGAGTGTGAGGGAGGGATGAAGCAGGCATTTGGCAAGGTCTCTTCCAGCCCATTGTCTCAGTTTGAGCAACTTGTGACACGTACTCTCCATCACCCCCTCTTAGAAAGCAAAGTGCAAACACAGCTTTTGCCTCCCTCTGAAAACCTGGTGACCATGTGTTACCACCCCCTTATGGACATGCCACACTATGGGGGATGGAAGTCAGTGGAGTTAACATCTGCTGTGCTGTTAGGTGCATCAAACAAAGGCAGAAGAAGCGTTACACCTTCCAAGTGTTGAGCCCTGATGAAAAATAATCCCCAGAGGAGTGAGTGCATGGTGCAATTACCTGTTCCTATTACCTACCTGTGCCTCAGGGCATCACTGGAGCCTTGCAAGAGTGAGAGTTAATGTATAAATATATATATACTTTAACCCCATGACCAGAAGGCTTGTATCATGAATCTCTCAAGTCAATACCCTAATGCCTAAAATACCCTTTTAGGACACAGAAAAGCCATATTTAGAAATTAGTGTTATTCAGAGCAGGAACAAGAAATGATTTGAGGCACTTGGTCTCCTCCTATCCAAGCTGTTCTGGTATAAATGACTGATGTAGTCACAGAGGCAAGAAGCCAAATCCCAGTTTGCCTGTACTGTTGCACTCTGCTTTCACATTTATCTGACTTTTAATGCAATGAAAGTCAAATTTCAGAGCACTCTCACAGAAGCTGGCAGGGGAAAAGGTCTGGCCAGGACTGTACAAGATCCTTCTCAGCCTATTCCTTAAGCATCTTCTGCTGATTGAGAAACGTTTCTGCCCAGATCTGCTTCTTCTGTTCTCTGTTAACAGCGAAAAGCTGGTTTAAAACCGCTTTTACCCAGTGAGGCTAGAAAAACATGACAGTGTCCGAATCCCACCCATACAGTTTATAAAGCAACAAGCCATGGCATTCTCCCTTCTTCTGTCCCATTAAAATTCTGTCAATCTGTGCAGCATCAGAGGCCACTTTTGAAATGAAGAGTCAGAAAACAAGTTGGAACGAGACTTACCTTTGCAGAAATGTTGCAATTTTCACAGCATGGGAAGAAGAAAAATCATCCTCCCACCCCACTTAAAAAAAACCCGAAACACACACACACACATAACTCTGTGGTCTGGCTTAAATAACTTTGATTTCAATTAAATCCAGTCTTATATAGGATTTATCTTTCCTGAAAGCTGCTCTACCCAGTGCTAGGACCACACCATCAGCAGGGTGGATCTACGTGTTTTTTTCTATGCAACACCCATCAAAAATCAAATGTCCTCATATGACAACTGTGTCAGCGTTTTTTCCCTCACTGGCAAACCCCATCACAAGTCTTTTCTCCTAGCTGAAAATCTGCTGGAGGGGATGCCAGGCAGACTCTCCATGCTGTCTTACCTGAGTCCAAGCACAGGACTGCTCCCAGCAGGAGGACAAGGAAAGCTTTCATTTTGGAATAGCCTCTTTCGTGCCGAATATGGGTTGTTTCCTCATGGGGCAGTTTATATACCATGGGAGGCAAAAATCGGGCATGCCCAGAAGGTTACCCTGTGAAGGCACTTGAGCGAAACTGTTCGCTGGACCAAGGGAGGGGTTGGTTTGTGATGGTGATATTTGCCTTTAGGTGCCTCTCCTATCTGACTGCGACTCTGGGAGCTACCAGCAGCTCCTCTCGTCCACTACGCCCCTGCCTTTCCTCCTACCCTTGGGCAAAGTGTTCACAAGAGTGGAAAAAAAACCCAAATTCTTTAGAACAAGGCTAGCCTTATCCATTTCCCTAGAACCAGTGAGGCTGCAGTTGTGAACAAGGCTCTCCACCCCCATTGTTATCCTAAGTGGAGCTATTGTGTTTAAATCAAGTACAAAATGTTCTTTGAATAAACACCTCTAACTCTTTATCTGCTTGTGTGAGTGTCTCTATGACGAGTGGCATGTGGTAGCAAGGCATGTGGGCAAATTACAGTGCATTGACCTCTTCAGGTGCCCAGGTGCTCGTTTGACCTTATTCATACATATTGTCTGTAGTTTAGTAAAAGACAATGGCCAGTTCAAATTTTTTATGGGTATTGAAACCAAAGGGGCTTTACGATGGCTTTGTCTGGTGTTGATTTTATCTGCCACTCTGCACTGTGGCATGCTTCTCTTTGTCTGCCAGTCTTTCTGTCTAGTGTAAGGTGGGTACGGTGTTGATCCTTGAACTCATACCAGTGTGTACTGTAAACAATCCAGGCTTGTCAAAGAAATGCCTCTTCTAGTCACAAAGGAGAGCGAGTTCAGCTGCATTCCAAAGTGCGAATGTTTGATTTGGTGGGTTGATTTGAGACCTCTCCCACCCCCATGCCACTTCTCAAAACAAGCCAGCGTAAAAGAAAACAGGCCTTTCTGCTAAATTCAATTTGCTGTGGTTTCTCACTTTGTTTAGGGTTTTTCTTAAGTCTCAGGAAATTAGCGCTTTGCAGTAATAGCTTGCAGGGACTTGCTCTTGTCCAGTTTAGCACTCAGGACAGCAGGCACTTTTTCAAATTGAAAGGAAGGTATGCTGGTGTGTTGGTGGATCATTGCTCTTGATCAGCTTTTGTGGGATGAGTGATGGAGGGTCAGCCAGCCGAAGTCTGCTGAAGTTAATGGCACTGCCCTGATTTACACCGGTGGAGAATCAGATGCAGGCAATGATTTTGAAAATCCTGTATCCTCTGTGGGGATCTTAAGTGCTTCTCCTTGGACTCTTGAACTTCTGTTTAAAAAGAAAAAAAACCAAACAACCCACCCCAACACCTTATTTCTGTGTCTATTGACTTTTGCTTCATCATATTTTTGCAGACCATCTCGTTTTTAGCCAACTTTTATGAAATAGCTGGATAAAAAAAAGTGGTAATATCTTCTCAAACTCTGGTGTTCCTTTTTCAGAAGTATTTAAGGCTGTTTTTCTTTTTTAATCCTTTATGATTGTCCCTGTATGGTTTGGTTCCTTGTGTTAGGAAAGAATCGGGCCAAGGGGAAAACACAACCTGATCACACCATCAAATCCTCTCAGGCCTTGAATTAAATATTTTTTCTTTCAGGCAACTTATTGATAAGCAAGAGGGAGTGCTCCTTTCATCCTCAGCAGCCCAACTTGCTGCCAGTCAAACTCTCCTAGTACAATTATTTCTTTTTATTCTAACAGAATCAGGGCTACTAGCGAAGACCAGGACTCATGGTGCCGTAAAAGAGATGCACACAGCTAAGAGCCTGTCCATGCCCCAGTCCTGCTTGGCTGCAGCCTGAGGCTATGTGAGAAACCAGTAACTCCTGTATCCTCAAATCAGTTGTTGCTTCTCGCTGTTTCCTCAAACATTTGTGTGCAGTTCCTGCTTGACTCCTGAAGATGGCAAACGTGCCCTGTTATAATTATTACACATACATTAATGTGCAGTTGTCAATAGGATTGTGTGTGCACGGTATTTTTCATTTTCCCGATGCTATAAAATCCCAAGTTCATCTAGCTGCATGTACAAAACCATATATTTCCCCTGGGAATCTAAGGATGTCTACAAATCACTCGGGGTTTGGTTTTTTGTTTCTTCGTTTGGGTTTTTTATTCTATTTTATGTTGTCAAAGCAGATTCCTAATAGATTCAAGTCTAGAGCTTTCTGTTGAGGAGGGAAGGAAATAGCGCGTGATTATTTGCTGTATTCTGGTTCACCTGTCTGGTGTCAGGCTAGTAAAGTGCTGGTGGATTGCCATGAGAGTATGGTGTCGTGGATCACACTGAGGAGCTGGGTAACAATGGTAGGCATGAGTTGGAAGCTGGAGGACAAGAAAGGCAATAGCTACAACGATGCCTGGGAAATCTGGATGGAGATATCGAGTGTCTCTGAACACCAAAGAAAGTTTCTCTGATTTCCTGGGACGTGTCAACCATTTGGAGAGGTGGTCTGAAGGGGCCGTAGGGAAGTCTGCAAGATGACAGAGATAATGTCTTAAGACTTCAATTGCAGGCTGCCTTGTTTCTTGGGGATGTCTTTTATGAGCAGAAGAGAAAAAAAAAAAACAAAAACCAGAATCCAGCAAAGAGGAAACTAAGATGAAGCTCCATACATTCATCCAAGCTCCTGAATGAATTGTAGTCCTTGAAAGAGACAGATCATCTGGGGATCTCGCAGTCTTCAGTCTCTGAGCTCAGAGGTGTAACACCTTCTCGGATGCCTTAATTCAAGCCAGAATTAAATGCAAGAACAAGAGGAGCTGCCATCTAAGGCTGCCTGTCCCTGAAGAGAGCTCACCATGGTGTTTGCTCAGCATAAGCGTGGCTTGCAGCTCCTTTTCAGGATGTTCTGAAGTATATGTGGGGAGGTTGCAATGGGCAACAGAGGGAATCTTACTTGACTTTTCCACTACTGGAAGGTGTTCGGTGTGTGTGCAGTAAATGAGCTGGCGCTGTCTGCAAATCTATTCAGGCTGTGCAGATGTAGGACGTATGATAAGTGATTTTAGTGGCCAATTTTAGGCATTAAAGTGGGAATTTCTAGCAGCTGCACAGCTGTGTTCCTGGGGATGCAAGCAGCCTCAGGAGCATTGAACTGATTCCCAAGTCAGAACGGGTGGGAAATAATTGACACTGAGTCACTAGGTGGCAGTAAGGCAAACTGCATTATAGACTCGTCTGCAAGGAGGGAAGCATGGATCCAAGATGAGGCATGTGCTTGGACAGACAGGCAGACAGATGGATAGATAAGGGAGAGAAAGATTTAAAAATGAGTAGATATACAGATGTCCACAGAGGTGGATGGCTAGCTAGCAGTCAGGAGGAGCCAGAGTAGCTGGTCTTGTGAACCCTCTTCTAACCTTGTAGGTGATCACAGGTAGACTTTGCTCTGCTTGTGACAAAAGGCCACAGTATGTCCCCTATCCCAGCCTAAAGTATTTCTCATCAGGCTCCCAGCTGTTTTGTGCTCTCCTGTGAACAAGGAGTGGACAGGCACAACGCTGGCCCAGCAGCAGGAAGCATGA